TAGGCAACCACTTGTTCTTGATACGAGACCTCCGAATTTATCTGTCTTTCTAGATAGTACAGAGCACAACATCGATTGATGGCTCCAGATTCGAACGTGATGAAGCAACGAGGCGGCTCAGCTTTAAGACTTTTTACTCTTTATCCCTCTCCTTTATTTGCAGGTGTTGATATGTTTGCCCCAGATATCAAGAAGGATGCTATCTGTTACGTATTTCCTCCTTTTAAATGCATATAGTCTTTGCTTTCTTTCATTTCGGAGCAAAAATTAGTCCGCGTATTGTTAGTACTGTTATCTGCTATAGTCTCAAATTTTGCTAAAAAGTAATCGTGGTGGCCCAAAAAAATTATTATCCTGGTCACAATTCTCAAATGGAACTAGATAGGTATTTATCAATGTATCTTTTATGATTTATAAACATAATTTTAGTTGTTGCATACTACTATCTGATAATATGTTAATTCTGCTGAATGCAGTCACGTTTTTTACCAGAAAATGGTCGGTAGTATCATTAGCAAATATTTCTGAAATTACCTTTTAGATAACAAGTGGAAAATTATTTATAAAATCCAATTTCGTCCCTTCCCAATTTGCCCCTACATTATTCCCTTTTTCGTTTTTCCCCCATCCCATATTGCCCCTTGTTATTTTGTCCCTTTCGCAATTCGCCCCTTCACAATTTACCCCTTTCTCAGTTCGCCCCTTAGCCATTTTTTCCCTTTCTACTTCGCCCTTCCCTTTTTAAATAATACAATTATTTGATAAAGAGTAGACTGGAAATGCAAAACTTTCAAACCACACACAAAATTAAGATTATCCGACAAATAAACCGATCATTAGGTGAAAATCAGACATTTTAGACGTATTTCAAATTTAAAAATTTTAAGTGGGAGTAAAACTGATCGCTCAAACGAAAACGAAAATTCCGTGATACACGTGCGAACGTGTATTTTAACCTCAGTGACATTTTTCCGACTGCACTTGTTTGATAACACTGTACGATGAACAATAATACAGACGATGAAATGTTTATCACGCAAAATTCATTTTGTGATTTAACAAAAAAGGAAACCGTCTCATCAATTAATTGTAGGCGGTGAAAAACTGAGAAGGACACGGCGTCAACTACGAACATTGTGAAATTACCAGAACCCGATCACGAAAAACCTTCAGCAATGAATCTGTAGACAGGCTTGTTTGTTGGGTTCTACTTGCAAACTGCAAAGTAGATTATTATTTCAAACTGTATAGTCGTTTGTAAGAAACTGGATTTACTTTCAAAATGAGGTAACAGCTAAGCTAAGATATTAACAACACTTTATTTACACTATATTAAACTAACAAGGTGTCTACACTAAATCCACCCGAGATCTTCTTCCTCTTAGCACGACGTGATCCTAACCCTTGCTAACGAATGAATCCTATGTCCTGAATGGCCCTTACTATGCTTCCGTAATCATTTGACTAAAAACTGACTTGTTAGTCTTTCATTCAAACCTCTACCAATTTGTCGTCCAAAAACTTGCCTTCACCGACACAATGTTGTTTCTCTAAACGATTCTATTTTTCTTAGTGTTCAGAATTAAAACAAACTTCGAAACAAACAAATAAATTATGTGAAAATTGTAAAAACTACTTAAAGTTCTCAAAAAAAGTGGAAACATGGCTCACTTTTCAACTCGATTCACGCAGCATGGAACAATTTTTTTGCGACTAGGACAAATAATTTTTTAAAAGGGACAGTTACGCCAACTTTTTGACCAATCATACTTTAGTTTCAGAAACGGGATTGTTTTAGCTAAGCCAATCAGTAATATTGTTCACAGGTCACCGTCAAACTTTGAGCCTCAAACTCACACGTGAATTATCCGTGTTTGAAACTAGTATACAGAAGATGTCTGCAGTAATGATACAGATATTGACAATGTTTGACTGTAGTTTGTAGTAGAGGTCAGTAATGATACAGATATTGACAGTGTTTGACTGTAGTATGAAGTAGAGGTCAGTAATGATGCAGATATTGATAGTATTTGACTGTAGTATTTAGTCGAGGTCAGTAATGATACATGTATTGATAGTGTTTGACTGTAGTTTGACTGTAGGGGTCAGTAATGGTACAGATATTGATAGTGTTTGACTGTAGTATGTAGTTAAGGTCAGTAATGATACAGATATTGACAGTTTTTGACTAGTTTGTAGTAGAGGTCAGTAATGATACAGATATTGATAGTGGTTGACTGCAGTATGTAGTAGAGGTCGGAATTGATACAGTGATTGATTGTAGTATGTAGTGGAGGTCAGACTACATGCTACTGTCAGACACTACCAATATCATTACTGTATCATTACTGACCTTGACTACATACTACAGTCATACACTATCAATATCTGTATTATTACTAACCTCTACTACATACTATAACCAAACACTATCAATATCTGTATCATTATTTACCTAGACAACATACTGCAATCAAACACTATAAGTATCTGTATCATTACTAACCTAGACTACACACTTCTGTTAAACAGTATCAATATCTGTATCCTTACTAACCGCTACTACATACTACAGTCAAACACTATCACTATATGTATCATTACTGACCTAGACTACATACTACAGTCAACACTATCAATAGATGTATCATTACTGACCTAGACTACATACTACAGCCAGACACTACCAATATCATTACTGTATCATTACTGACCTAGACTACATACTACAGTCACATACTATCAATATGTGTATTATTACTGACCTATACTACATACTACAGTCAAACACTATCACTATCTGTATTATTACTGACCTAGAGAACATACTACAGACAGGCACTATCAATATATGTATTATTACTGACCTCGACTACACACTACAGTCAAACACGACAATATCTGTATCATTACTGACCTCTACTACATACTACAGTCAAACAGAATCAACATCTGTATCATTACTAACCTTTACTACAATAACTTCAATTAGTTGAAAATATATGTTACTTTTTTTGAGGGCTGCCTACGCCTTTTTCAAATTTTTGATATATCAATTTAATTACAATCCTTTTTCTGTATTCAACTTTCTCTTATACTGTCTTCTACTGTTATAAGTGCAATGAAAAATGTGAAAAGGGCGAAGGAGTGAACTGGGAAATAGGCTAAGTGCGAATAAGGGGCAAAATGGGAAGGGGGCAAAATTGGAAGGGGCAAATTTAAAAAGGGACGAATCGTGAAGGAACAAAATGGGAAGGGACGTAATGGGAATAAATAGGGAGTGAATTGGGAAGGGGCAATATGGGAATAAATAGGGAAAGAATTGGGAAGGGGCAATATTGGAATAAAGCACAGAAATTATCCAAGGGTAGATCCCCGAGGATCGCGGTTTGGTAAATAACATACAACATGATGAAATTTGAATAAAACAACTTTGTCAACATCAAAGCCTTGTTAAAATCTGGGTAAACAACACCTGTTTATATACGTTGATCAGAAGCTTTAGAGCAGTCTATCTAATGGATAGGGGTTGATTAGTCAGTATTGGGAAACACTATAAGGTTGCAGGAGTATGATGCGCTACATAGCTGATAATATACCGAATGCTCTGTTTCAACGCTGTGATCTAACCAGTATGCATGACAATATATAGGAGTGATTGTCATGCATACTGGTTACATCACAGCGTTGAAACAGAGCATTGGTTATATTATATATTATTACATATTTCATGAATTTTAAAATCAATACGCATGACAGATAAATCATTTTGAAAGTTTTGAATTAAAAATTCCAATTAAACGTGAAAATGTATGCCCATATGTTAACTAAATGGACACGGTATCTTACTTCAATAAATATCAATACATAACTTAGTTTTAATTGACTGTTTATTTTTCACTTTAGCAAGAGATACCCATATGTCTATTGGGCTTCAGTGCTTTCGTGTTTATATTGCTCTATGTTGAGTAATGATAGATATTGGTTAGTGCATTGTGCCTTGGCTGATGGTGTGATTCTGTATATTATACTCGACTAAATTACCTTGATGTTGAATATCATATCTTGATTTGGATTTTATACCATGATGTTGGATCCAGTGGATATCTTACCTTAAAAATAAGAGATTATTATTGATTATTAATGTGGGATACCATACTTATATCGTGACTTTATACAGGTGTGAAATAGTGTCCTATTACAGAATCACTTGTGGCGTTTTTGTACATCGTTGTTTTCGTCATCACGTATCATTAATACGTTACTAATTCTTGTTACTATCATTTTAACTTATTCGTTTCGTGTAACTCTTATAATACGTTGTTTATTGTTGGATTTTGGTGCCTAGAATTTTATAGCGTGAGGTTTGTCTTAAAATATTTTCAACATTAAATATGCGAAGTTATATTCAATATCGATATTTCCTTAAGTTACTGTTTGTTTGGATTGGATTTATATCAACAATATTTATTGTTTATACACTGAATGTAAACTCGAATACGTTATATAATGTTGCTGATAAAAACCGAAATTTGTCAACGAACGGCGAATTCTTTAACGTTGGGAAAGATAACAGTTTTTCGTATAAAACAGTCGAAAAAAACATCAGAAAAAGTAACAAATTATCAAATAGAACAGTGAGAAAATATGACATATTGTCAGACAAAACAGTGAGAAAAGATAAGATATTGTCAAATAAAACAGTGAGAAAAGATAAGATATTGTCAAATGAAACAGTGAGAAAAGATAAGATATTGTCAAATGAAACAGTGAGAAAAGATAAGATATTGTCAAATGAAACAGTGAGAAAAGATAAGATATTGTCAAATGAAACAGTGAGAAAAGATAAGATATTGTCAAATGAAACAGTGAGAAAAGATAAGATATTGTCAAATGAAACAGTGAGAAAAGATAATTGTACGAATTGTTTTCTACATAACTTTCAATATGAGATAATAAACAGTAATATCTGTAAAGTACAGAATGATATCACTGTAGATATTTTTATTATTATTTTCTCCATTCCTAGAAATATTGCTAGTAGAAACGCAATCAGATTTTCGTGGGCATCTGTATCAAACAATAACACTGCTAGTACCAGATACGCTTTCTTTTTCGGCAACAGTTCTGATAAGAATATTTTGTTCCAGGAAGCAAAAATTTATAAAGACATCATCATGGAGGATTTTCAAGACAGTTATCAGAATTTAACCTACAAAACAATGATGGGATTTAAATTTGTTACTTTATTCTGTAACAATGCTAAATACATTCTTAAAACAGACGATGATATGTGGATCAATCTCAATTCCTTGAACGAATATTTACAGACAAACTCGGAAAAGTTAACCCATTCTGTTGGAGGCTCTTGTCATCAAACTGCAGGACCCATCCGATCTAAATCCTCGAAATGGTATGCAAGTTTTGAAAGCTATCCGAGTGCAAAATATCCAGGATATTGTTCAGGCACGGGCTATATTTTAACAACTAAAACAGCACAGCAAGTTTTAGAAATCTCTAAAAATGTGCCTTTTTTCCATTTGGAAGATGTTTACGTTTCCCTTTGTATTCGAAAATTGGGATACTCATTGGAAGGTATTCCAGGTTTTTTTTATGGTGCAGGTGCGAAATCAGATCTGTGTAGATATAAAAAGAAAGGTGTGATAACATGGCATATGGTTCCTCCTGACACCCTCCTAAAAATATGGTCTAGAAATTGCAGAAACTAATCTCTATTTTCTTTTCCCAGTTAAAGAATTAAAATTTTCTTTTGTGGTTTTCTTTTGACCGGTTTTTGTCATCATATCATGAGGGTACTATCTTTATATATATATTATTTTATAGTCATTGCTAGTTTCTAATGTCAATAATAATTGACATAAGTTGAAATACAATTGTTATCTAGTACATTTTCTAGTCGTAGTCCGTTGTGCCAGGGATATAAAACAAGATCGTCCAAAAATTTCAATATATCAATTCATAAACAAAAGCAGTCTCCGACAAAAACTTGCGCGCACGCACGCACGCAAGCCGTATCAAAAATTTTTGCAGGCACTGTTCAGACACTACCCTAAAAAAATCCATTCCCAGTGGCCGCGTGATCAGAAAAAGTGTGTGTATTAAATTGGGACTTTCGATCGATTTTAATTAGATAACTTCCGTTTGAAAATTATTATTCCGAATGTTTTATTAGCTATTAGCTTTGTACGTAACCACTACAGTAAGTGGTAAGCTAATAGCTAATGATATACGAACGGAAGTTAGGTCTAATTTTAATTTTGTAGTTAGACACTTAATAACTAAACAATACTTGAAAGGGTTTCTGTAATGATACAAATATTACTTGTTAATAAAGATATGCAAATAAACTGACAGCTTATGCTAGACTGCCGTAGTTGATAATGTAGGACGCTGAGTGAAGTTATGGCACCAATTATCCACGCAAGATATCCAGTCCAGAACTTCGTGGAATTTATCACACAAGCAAAGTGATTTATGTAACTTATAGAGAGCCATTAAGGGATGGGGCCGAAACAGTTCACTGAATGCAAACCTTACTACAATACTACATAATAAACAGTGAAACAAGTTCAACTTTAATGGAAACAATACAGTAGCTTACAAACACGTTGACCGTCTTCATTAGCCCACAAGGTGCAGAAGAGTAAGACGTAAAACTCCATTCATTTCATTTCATTTACAAACACGTTGAACATCCATCATCCAAATTAACTTTTCGGCTTATTACAAACAAGATATTCGAGAAAGCTGGTTTCTTGTGGTGTCTAAGCAACCATAATAATATACACTAAATAAGTATGAGTTGCAGCCTTCGTCTTAATTGAAATTAGGAAACTTATAAAACTTTTTCCAACATGCGTTCGGGCATAAAACCATCTCCGCTGTTTAACGCGGTTATCCAGACTCAACTTACTATAGGAACTGACTTTAACAATTATGCTTGATTAACTTATTAAAAAATATAACGAGCACATATTATGACATTGAAATTTGTTTTTACAGAGGAAAATCTTCACTGAATTTCAGTAAAATTTATTAATTATCAGCTCAAAGTAATTTTCAGGGTATCGGTACTATTTTAGAGCATATATTCGAATTAACTTTGAAATAATCGGCAAAGTTCGAAGAACCAACAAAGTTGCAAAGAAAGTCAATCTGACTAAGCCTAAAATCTGTCATATCTAAACCGATATTTGTGGGAATCTGTTATAGACCTCATCACAATTATAATTTCCTGGAAAATTTTGAAAAACTCTTGTTACTGTAATGTTATGCTAATATTCATTTGAGAGAATCGATACAAGTGAAATTATGATCAAATTGAAATAATACAAATTAATTGTTATCATGTGTGAACTCATTTAGACCAAGTTCAAGAGTTCAATATGCTGATAAAAAACTATTAAAAAAGTAAATTTAATGGTTGTAACATATTGGATAGAATTAATTCCTTTTGATCGTGGTCATTCAATATTTTATATATATGATTGACCACCAAGATAATTCAACACTTGTTTCATTAAAAATACTAATTGGTTTTCTCAAATGAGTATAAATGAGTGGAATAATAGAGTTCCACGGTTCCAGTATTTTCCATCGTACATCTCGTATGTGTATTTAACTAACTAGTTAAATAGATTGAATAAAATAGTTGTTAATTATAAAGTCTTAATATATACCGGAGCTGGGACGCTAGATTACAACTAAGAGAGGATTGTGAAATTATGTTATTTGGAGACTTTAACATATGTTTTAAAGATCAGGCATGGCCACTGTTTAAATCTTATAATGAGCTTTTGAAATGTTTAACGTTAGTCAAATTATTAGAGAGCAAACTAGAATTACAGAATCTACAGATCTAATTGATCATATTCTATGTAATGATACTGAAAAAATATACCAGTCAGGGGTTTCAAATATTGGTTTTAGCGACCATTTTGTAGTATTTTGTAGTAGAAAATTATCAAAGCCTATTTACAATTAGCCCAAATATGTCATAGTTAGATCGATGAAATCATATAACAAAGATGAATATATAACTCAGCTGACTGAAGCTAAATGGGAAAAGTCCTTCAAAGACACACTGCATGTCTAGAATATTCATAAAATTTCTTTTACATCTGCGGCATTGAAGCATTCCTATTTAGTTTCAGACAGCTGAGTTATAAATTCATCTTTGTTACATGATTTCATAGATCTAACTTTGACTTTGTCTCTAGCTCTGGTAGTTTTGTAAGTAATGAGCGAGCATTAAGATGAATAAAATATATGCCCTTCTGGAAACATCCAAAAACTTCATCTGGGTATAACATGTCTGCTTTTGGAGCTGCAATAGTGTTCAGCCTGCCAACATCCTTAAAAAAAGAGTCTGAAAAATTTGGTAGTTGACATTTCGAACAGTATCATTCATATCTACTTTGAGATAGAATGTTATATGATTTAACAGAACTATTCACGCACGTAAAAAAACGTAAACGTCACATCAGTACAGGAATCAACCAGAATGGTGGAACAATCAGTGTGAACAGTTTAAACGTAAAAAGTATCGTCTATCAGATATATTTCAGGCCGCAAACAGCGAAATTGATCTCGCGATCTACAAGAAAGCAGAGTGTAAATTTAGGAGGGTTTGTTCCAAAGAGTACTTATCAAGAGAAGACAAACACTGTGCTGATAAACAATGGAATCGCTGTTGAATGATAACAGGTTCTAAACTAGCCAAAAGTTGAGGGATGTGTTTCTGGTTTTAATGAACTTTTAGACTCAGAAATAACTGCGGAGGAGATAGTCAAACAACTCAACAACTTGAAATCCCTTGGCACTGATGCCATCGTGAACGAAATTAACAAAATGTGCATTACACATAATTATACGCCCTCATGAAATGGGGGGCGTATATTGCCGTTACCTCTTTCCGTCCGTCCGTCCACAATTGCTTGTAAAAACTCTACAAGGCACAATTCTTGACTGATATCGACGAAACTTGGTATGGTTGTTTGGTAATCACCCAAGAATGAACCCTATTGAAAATCAGAAGAATCGAAAAATATTTACTATGAGTTATTGCCCTTGTTCTTGAAACGCTCGTAAACACTCTAGAAGGTGCAATTCATGACGGATTTTGATGAAACTTGGTATGAGTGTTCGTTATCGCCCAAGGATAAACCCTATCGAAAAACAGAGAAATTTAGTATGAGTTATTGCTCTTGTTCTTGAAAACGCGTTCAATTTTAGCTTGTAAACACTCTAGAAGGCACAATTCATGATGTATTTTGACGAAACTTGGTGTGAGTGTTTGTCATCACCAAAGGATAGACCCTATCGAAAATCAGAAAAATTGAAAAATATTTAGTATTAGTTATTGCCCTTGTTCTTGAAAACGCGTTCAATTTTTAGTTCGTAAACCCTCTAGAAGGCACAATTCATGACGGATTTTGACGAAACTTGGCATGAGTGTTGGTTATCACCCATGGATAAACCGTATTGAAAAATTGAAAAATATGTAGTACGAGTTATTGCCCTTGTTCTTGAAAACGCGTTCAAATTTTAGCTTGTAAACACTCTAGAAGGGACAATTCTTCACGGATTTTAACGAAATTTGGCTTGAGTGCTAGTTATCACCCAAGGATGAACCCTATTGAAAATCAGAAGAATCTAAAAATATTGAGTATGAGTTATTGCCCTTATTCTTGAAAACGCGTTCAATTTTTAGCTTGTAAACACTCTAGAAGGCACAATTCTTGACGGATTTTAACGAAATTTGGCTTGAGTGTTTCTTATCACCCATGGATAAAGCCTATTAAAAATGATAAAAATCTAAAAAATATTTAGTATGAGTTATTGCCCTTGATCATGAAAACTCGTTCAATTTGTAGCTCATAAAATCTCTAGAAGGCATGATTCTTGCCAAATTTGGACAAAACTTGGTTTTATTAGTCATTACCGCGCTGAAGATTGAATATTTATCTTCTAGAGTTTTCACGAGCTAAAGATTGAACACGTTTTCAAGAACTAGGGCAATAACTCATACTCAATATTATTCAGTATCGCCCTAAAGAGTTCAAAAGAAGTGTATGACAAAAGGTTGAATATTTCATACTGGTGATTGTTACTGTACTGCTAAATATTTTTGTTCAAAATCAAAGCTGCCAGTGGGCGTATATTACCTTGCCTGGCAAGCTATCTTTTTACCCTACCTATTGGCACTTTTTATACGCCCACATGGAAATGTGGACGTATAATGCCGTCGCCCCTGTCCGTCGGTCCGTCCGTCCGTTCACATTTCTTGTAGGCACGATAGAGGCTACAGTTTTTATCCGATCTTGATGAAACCTGGTATGCTTGTATATATTGATGAGATCTCGGTCAAGTATGAAATAGGTATAATTCGGGAGAACGGTTTCGGAGTTATTGCCCTCGATAGAGGCTAGATATCAGATCTTGATGAAACTTGGTATGTAAGTATATTCATTGATAAGATCTCAGTTAAGTTCGACTTGGGTAATGGCCCTTGACTTAGGAAAAAGATAGCTTGTCAGGTGTCAGTTATGCTGAGTTTTTCCACAAATATTTCTTAAATCAATAGCAATAACCCGGAAGCGTTGAATTATCACACTCCTCTAACATTTTCAAAGATATATAATAAGGTATCATCAAATTCACACTAACTAACTAACATAGAACTTTACTGAGATCTCATTAATATATA